GTAATGCTGCAGAAATTACTTGTCATCTTGGTTTTAACCCAGAGGCCTTGTGTGCTGCCACACCGAGAAAGCATCACTCTATCACTCTTCTGATAATTGCTGGGTGTCATCAAAATTTTTGCATTATTTTGCTGCAACCAAAACCCAGTGAAGCCAGCAGACAGAATCCCATCAACACCTTTGGGCCTTGGATCAAGTCCAATAACCTTGGTTGCTTATTACTGTCACACTAGCTAACCTTTAACTCAATCCATAGCACCCACTCCCCAGCCATTATGTACTTTGCTCTATAAACACAACCTCTGTTTGAATTGCATTTGCAAACACGCACTTGAGATGGATGCATTTCCAGCATGAGAAACATAAAAAGCAGCAGACTTAAATGTTCTTGGAAAGACATGAGGACAACACAGACTTTTTTTTTTCATGTAAAAAGTGATTTTATTTCATATTTTTTTCCAGAGCTCATATTGAAAGTTTCCTATTATTGAAGGGAAACAAATACAAATCAGGCAAGCTTATACATCAGTAGTGAAACGTGCCCTTCACAGTTTGCTGCAACTTGTCCTTGCAAACTTGACCATGAAAATTGTATTGTCTTAAAAGCATCCAGAAAAAGAGGAAAATATTAGAAGGACAAGATGGCAACAGTTATAAAATAAATTAAAAGCATCTGTAAAAGTTTCTTTCCATATACAAAATACCTTTTCTGGGGTAATTTTATTTTTTTTAAACTGACATTATCTGTACAAGCATTAACCTCTAAACAGAAATCATTTACAAAGGCTATTTTTACAAAGAGAGATTAGTTGCTTAACAACATGTGTGCCACCTGCAAACTATCGATCATCTCCTCAGGGCCGCACGTGCAAAGCCTTTGGGCCAGCCTGGAGCAGGGCGCAGCAACTCCAAACCCCAGAGGTGCCTGACACCTCACGAAGGGTGCTCAGCTCCTCACAAGTTCAGACAAATTCAAAACACAGAGCCTACCTTCAAAACCCAGCTCAGAGGAATAGCATCATTTGTTCCAATTGACAGTTCTCCTGGGTCACGCTATCACACTGGAGACTAAAGTGTTTCATTTTGCACCCCATATTTTGCACACTTCTTGTGAGATTCCCCATTCAGCCTTAAGGAATGGGATTTTGAAGATGTTTCTGCAGCGGCCTGCTCACCCACTGCTACTCACTGCAGACTTTGCTCCCACAGGAGTCCCACAGGAGCAAGGCTGGTGCTGCATCCTTGAGGACAACCCGTGCAAAGGGAGAGCTTCCACAGCTGAAGCCATTCTCTTGGCCATCTTTCAAGTGAGCTATAAAAATAATGCACCGTCATTAAATACTATATAATTAGATGGAGAGCAGAACCATTTATCAATCAATAGTATTGCCAAAACAAAAGATAAGAGGGAAAAGTCCCGCGCGCTTATTTAAATGGTGATTAGTAACATTATCCGTAAATTATTTTGAACTAATATATAGTTATATACAGAGATCATTGTCTATGTGATTAATACATTACTGATGATAGATGCAGCTTTATTTAGAACATTTCACTTAGAAATACAAATGCAAAACAAGTCTTGTGGATATAATATCTCACGTATATGGTTAACTGAAGGGAGTGTGACGACGTTTAGCTGGAAGAAGCAGATCATGTCTTATTTGGAGGACTGAACCTAGAGGTACATGCCAAGGTGAATGACAAAGCCTGGGTGCACGCTGGTGAGAACCAAGCACTGCACATTCACGCTCCTTTTCAAGTGATGCTTTTAAAGCCATTACCAGCCTTGTAAGAGCACTGGAAAGGAGCTCGGATAGCCTTGAGCTTGGTGTCCCTTCCAAAGAGCCACTGGCACCGCTTCTGTCCTGGACTGCTGTGCTGATGATTCATGCGCAGATGGCAGCACTTCCATTTCCGAGTGCAAAAGCTGTGAAGCAAGACTTACTCGCTGCCACCCAAGCGGTGGGCCAGGGTGCATCTGCTCTCCGTATTTTCGTCCGTGGGCCCCATTCCCTGTTGGCAGCAGGCACCGTGAGCAGACCGAGCGGAGCTGGGCGCACTCCTGGCCTTCTGCCCAAGGGCCCAGCAGCTCCAGCTCCCTGCCAGGACATGGGACACCAGAGCCTGCAGCCCCTCGGCTGTTGGGAGCTGGGTCCCACAGCCAGTCTCCTTGCAGTGGGCTGTCCTTCTCCAAGGAAGCAGCGTTGTTGCAGTGCGGTGACTCTCCAGCCTTCTGGGGCAGGGCTGAAAGGTGCCGGGTGCTGTTTGTTCCATGCTGCCTTTGGGAGGATGTAGTCTTTCGTTGCTCTATAAAGGGAACATGTTATAACCCTAACACAAAGCAATCTGGGGAGAAATCCAGCCCTCAATGAAGTCTTGCTGATCACCTCCCATCCTGCTACTGAGGACAAGGGGTATCTACCTCAAAAGCATTTAGCCTTGTCCTGGGTATGGAAAATATTGTAAAGGAAGTGATTTTGGTGGAAAAGTGTTACTCAATGCCAGCCAATTTGCCTCGAAGAAAGAAAAGGGAAGGACTGTCATACAGCCAAGGAGGCCTTGTAAAGAACTGCACAAATTCTGTTTTGCAACAAGTTCTCTACAAGCTAGAGATTAGATTTGGTTAACTTTATTGTTTGAGTTTTTTTTTTTTTTAACTAGCAGCCATTGTCACACTTAATTGTGTAAGATACACATTTATCTTTATAGCAATTACAAAGAGCAACTATCAGAAACCAGCACCTGTTTTTGCTTGCAAGGCCTGCTGCCCACTGGTTGTCCAGCTGAGCCTGTAGCAACCTCCAAGCATCCCAATGACACCGGGCCAAGGACTGTGCCAACTGTGAGAAGATTACAAGGTGAGCCCTACCACACAGTCAGCCTGGTGCACCTTGTCTTTGGACTGTCTGTAATGCCACAAAACATAGCTAAGCCCAAAGAAACAGGCTGTTTTTCATTAGCAAGACATAGCGATCTCCTGATTCCTGGCCAGCTCTTTGCTGTCTGCAACTATATTTCATTTCAGTTGGAGGAAAAGCAGAGTATTTTTTCCGCCAGTTTTTAAGTCCAATTTGCACATAAAATATGCAACTCTTCTCCTGCATATGGAAGTTGATCAAAAGAACACAGCTTCAAGCTTTTACTGTTTTGTTTTGATGTCAGTTCTGCTCCTGTGTGCTTAAGATGACAGCTGTTGTCTGGAAAGACAGTCTTTCTCCTACAGTTCCATGACTCAGATCCCTTAAGGCTAATATAGAGCAACAAGGTCTACTAGCTGTGCTAATTATTATCACCTACTTGGAGCCCATAGAAAGGTATCAGGATCCACTCTTTGCAAATCTAGGTTCAGGAATATACTGTTCAAGAAAAATAAGAGTAGGACTGCAAGCCTAATTTGCATCTGGGCCTAATCTGTAGTCTTTTTTTTAGTGAAATTCCTGTCAACTTCAGCTTGGTCTTTGTGCAGGTAGAAAGTGATTGCTGAAAGGATTCATAGGTCATTAAGTTCCAAGTCTACACCTCTCTCAAACACGCACATTATTCAGGTTGGTAAACATCACAGCACCACTGACCAAATACAAAAATCAATGACTAAGTGTTTGAAATAGCCTCAAATAGCAATGAACCTGCAAAAGAGCCTTTACATAGGAATATTGTAATCACCTTCGATATACTGAGGAACTGCTGTCTCCAAAATAGGGAATCTAACCCTCATTATGACTTGGACTTAGTTTACTCACGATGTGTATTTGCTATTTAAGAACACTGTTTGATAAATTATGTCGATATCACATGAAAAGCTTGTTCAGTGTTGACCCTTAGTGCAATCTAAACACTTGTTCTTGCAGCCAGAGGCACTTTAAACAAACATCTTTCTCTATAGATTATGTTGGTGGAAATGAAACAAGGTTTTTTAAATTTTCCTGTGAATATTCCCCAAATGACAGAATGAGCTCTTTACAGTTTTTTTTATATATATATATATATATTTATTTAATCCATTACACTTTTTTTTTCTCTCGATAGTAATTTCTCAAATGAATATGATGATGGATAAAACAATGGAAAGCATATTTTATATTTTTTGTGCAAAACTTGCTGGTAAGAATTCTTAAATTGACAGCATAGCTACAACAAACTTCATTTTAAGAGCAGAAGCCGACCAAGATGAGAAAAAAGACATGCTACATCAGATTCATGTAACCATTTAGAACTCACCAAGCAGCACTAGTTTCAATTAATCATAGTGAAAGTTTACAGATCAAGAATTATGCACCAAACAATTTCATATCAAGAATCAACAACCACAGATTTGTGCATAATAATTTGCAAATATTTTACAGAATATTTCTTATAAACAATTTACTCGGCTACTTCACTGAGTGTGACATTTTCATACCTTTACCCACTGAGCTAAGTTTTCGCTTTTGAGCTACTACAATTTCAAACACATCAGTAATGGCTTTCTGTTCTTCAGACTGAGAAGACTGAGATCTAAAAAGCTGACTTACAAGGAATATGTTAATGAAAATGAATACACATACACAGTCAGTGACATTTCATATTGAGGAAATATATGTCTAAGTTGGATTATCTAAGGCTCTTAGAATGTCAGATTAGTTTATGTTTCTCTTACTTACTGTGCTCTACCCAGTAAACTAAAGCAGAAAGTTTAGCTTCAAAAATGAGTAATATACTTCTAATTTCCACCCCCCTTAGCCACTAGAAGAATGGAGAGAAGAATTAACAGCTACTGCTGTTTCCAAAATCTCATACAAAAATAGATCAATATGTCCTTCTGACAGTTTCTAACATCTTGAAGAGTCTTCTGTAAATTTCTCTTTCATCTTTCTTTTTCAAAAGAAACGGTCATTCTCCATCACCAAGACTCACCTCTTGGTCAAATCCAAAGACGAACTAAGTTTTCATATGGCTCATCCTTGAAATTTCTATCCAGAATCCACTCCATGCTCTTATTCAGATTTATTTTCTTTTTGTTTTCAGAATGAAATGCATTGGCAGTGCAAACAAAAAGTAGAAATCATGAAAAACAATAATAAAATAGTAACCGATCACCTCAGCATTTCAAAGGGGTCCACTGAAATGTTATCTGCATGCACAGGACTCCACTGTCATATTGGGGTAGACCTTGAGAACCACATTCTTGTTTTCATCGAAGAACAGGATGCTGAGAGAAGACATTTTGTCAGGGACACAGCAAGGCTCGGGAATGCCGGGTACCACTCCAACTGCTCTCACTATGCTCTGTATGGTGGCATGGTTTGAGGGCTTCAAGGCCTGCAAGAGAAAGGTCAAGCACAAAATGAACACACACTCATGCCAAAACAGATCCGTGTACTCTACGTTACTGTGGGACAGAACTTAGTTCCTTGAAGAAGGGCCCTATAGAGGCCAAATGGCTCCTTAGCTATAGATAAGGTGCGCATTACCCAGGAGCAGTTGTCACCACAGCATGTGCCTAGGCCAGCAGCAGGGCTCTACTGGCCACTGGATGTCACTGTGGCCCCACAACTTCCATGGGGACAGGGCAGCCTCTGGCTCCCGATGGGACATGCCTTTCTAGGAAAACACCCAAGCAGCAGGCCTTGAAACAAGGTGTGCTGTAGGTCAAGGAAGTCTCTTCCCATGTGAACTCAGTCACACGCGAGCTGCAATTTAGTCATAAAACTTGTATGGCAGGAGGGAGGCAGCTGGCCTCACACCAGTAGGCTGATTCATTAGGAGAGCTAAATAAATACAGCCTCTATGCTGGGAAGTTGCTCTGAAGGAATGTGGGCGCATCAGGAACAACAAAAGGTGTGTACGGAGGCGAGAAGGGCAGTACTTTACAGCATCACATTCACTATACCAGTCTGCTGTCCTGCAAGGTGTTCTTGGTTCTCTTATTCTTCCTGCCAAATAGCTCAAATTGTTCTCCCGTAAATTTGACTATATTATGAAGAAATGCACTTTTCATCTGGAACATACATCCATCAGCAACATGACTGTTTAACACAGCCCCCAAAACCTCAAGGAGGGATTTGTACCTCATATTTCTGTGATATTTTGCTCCAAAGGACAGGGTTTCATGGCTTTATACTCATGCAAATGGGGACACATTTTCATTTCTTATAATATAAAGCAAATCTAACTAGTCAGACAAATGAAAAATGAATATATTACACTTGACCTCTAAGCCCCTAAACATTTCCAGAATGAAAAATCTGTAATAGCTAGGGTAGGTGAGCACCTACCATGTACAACACATTCATTTTAACCTAAGATTTTTTTTTCACAAAAGAGAAATTTTAACAAACCATTTGATAGCTCCACTTGCACAAAGACCCTGGGAATCATGGTTAGATATGCTCAGGCAGATGACACTAAAATATATATGAAACAAGATCATGTGAGCCAAATTTCCAATCTGCAGTTTTTCTGGTGTGTGAGATGATTCGCTTCTCAAAAAAAAAATAAAAAAAAAAGTCAGCAGCATTAGATATCTATCTGATTTGCAAATCCTAGCAATTTTGCATGCAAAAACAAACAAAAAAATAAAAAAACCCACAGGAATAACTGTGAGATTCTGGCTCATTATATCATTTGTGTAGTGCATTAGTACATTTCAAGTATCTGGTTCCAGTTCTTCTAGGAATACACATGGATGCCTAACCTTTCCCTGTAAGATAAAGTATCTGACAACTAATGCCAATTGCATTTTTCTTCTGTCTTGCAGAGACAGATGTGCCTTATTTTCCAAAAGAAATCCATCAGAATGGACTTATTCTGTATCATGCTGTCAAAACTAGTCTCAAGTGAGAACAGGAACCATTTGACATAGAATTGGAAAGGATTCACTTGGGAGCATTTAGCTGTTCCTTATGTACATGCTAAACATAATGTGAAAGGTTTTCCTCCTTCTGATAAGGGATCTTGCATACAGAGAGGATGAGAAACAGTGCATATCCCCAGATGCTGCCTATCCTTCCAAAGATCCAGAATCTTAAGTATAGTTGGGATTCAGCTATATTTTTAAACACAGGAGTTCTACCTGTTTAGTTTTTTGTTTGTTTTTCCCATTACTGGTTAAGATTAATACCTTATCAGATGACTGAGACAGAGTTTATTGGTGATGGCCTGTCCAAAATACAAATGCAAAGCTTATTGCGGCAAATTCTTAAAGGCTCTAGGATAGCCAGCATGGTTACAAAGGCATTTCTATCAATCTAGCTAGCAGACCTCAAGAAAGAGACTTTTTTTTTGTTTGTTTTGTTTTTTTGTTTTGTTTTCAAGAACACCTATGTTACTCAACAGTAGCTTGTGAGGATTTTTAGAGTTTGTCAGTTTAGTGCACAGCTCAGACTTCTCTATAAAATGTGCTTGCAAGAGGGTGTGAAAGCTGGGCTTGCATGCAGGCTCATTCCACTACTCCACAGAAGTCACTGGGGCCGAAAGTTCAACTCTTCAAAACCTTCTGATTAGATTTCAAAAGGTTAAAACAGTCCAAGTGAGATTGACACGCTATCCCCATCACCAGCGGAACTGGAATCCAAAAATGTTTCAGAATATGTTAGATTAAGGTCTTACTGTAAACCCTTAATTTATCTTCAAATATGTAATCTGTGCCATTGGTGCCGCTTCCTAAGGACTGTGCACTTTTTTTTTTTTTTCCTTTCGTGTTTTCTGTTGGTCAAGTTTGAAAGTACCAGTCATAATTATACTGCACTGGAGAGGAGCTCAGCGATTCACTGGTTTATGGCACTGTGCCATTCTGCAATAGCTGAGGGTTGATATGGCTAATCAGTCGATCTGACTGGGTGGAGGGTGAAACTCTTCCTTGAGTTCCCTTTTTGGGCTGGGCTCTGAGCTATATTATGCCCCAGGGAGTTGTTCAGAAGCAGCTATGCTTTTATGTACAGAACTGACCTCAAATATTGTTCACAGACCTTGTGATATCAGCGCAAATAGCCCGGCTACCCGCTGTCGTTCTGCTTCACACAAGCTCAGCAAGAAAGGCACCTATTTTACATGGGTATCTTTTGATACAGCACATCGTCTGCACTCACTGAAGTCTGTCACAAATACAGCGCTCCTGGCCTTTAAGGTGCACTTTTGATGATAACTAGCCTTGGCATAACTCTGCTTCTGCCAATGGGGAATTTAACTGGCACCAGAGTAAGGCCCAAAGGTGAGTGCTTTTTGCAAAACCAAGACCCACCCTGGAGTACTGAGCTGGCGTTACGCCCTGTGTAAGTAGCGGGGGGTTAGGTCATCCTTGCCTCAAGGCTGCGTGTGCTCCGTCCAGCTCATGCTAATGGGAAGCAGGTCCATCTGCTAAGGGGAGAGGAGGGAGGGGAGGCCAGGAGGAGCACTGGGAGGGCCAAAACTGCCTCCAAACTGCCAAACCTGTGAGTGAGTCCAGCTGTGGCCAAGGCTGCACCTGCTAAGCTGCAGGCATCCTTGGGAGACTTGCCACCCCGCTGGATTTCATTGGAGATGTATGAGGAGGGGGCATATGATGTCAGCTCCGAGCTTTCATTCCTGACCTGGGAAAAGCCTGCCTGGCCTTGACGCTCTGCGCTGTTCTGCTGGCTCAGCACATGTGGGTTTGACAGCAGTCAAAGCAGCTAATTGAAATCAGGGGAAGGGTAGGGCCAGAAAATTGGGAGGTGGAGAGGGAGGGGGAAGAGGCACATCTGTTCCTAATTATCCAACAGGTTGTCAACTTTAGGAGCTTGCCCTCAGCCAGGGAACATTATATACCCACAGGCACAGATTAGTTTGTTATTGCCTGATGCTTATAGTATCATTTTGCAAATGCAATCCTATTAGTAGCAGCAGATATTATGTATGACTCAAGGATAACACATGGCTCTAAAAGATGCTTGTTTCTTCTTTACATACATTCAGATTTTCATTTTCATTGGAAAACAAGCCTTTTTTTTTTTGGATATGATTTCACAAGCGCACAAAAGGAACAGTTTCCAGAATTCCAGTATGAACAGAAACTCACCAACTGCTTTGAGGGAACTAGACTCATGACAGGGTTTCATAATCCACTGCCATAACAGAATAAGAAACTATTTCTCTCTGTAGCCAGCAAGTATTTAGCATCACAGTGTCTATATAACTGTAACTTCTATCTTCCCAACCAAGGCTATGCAGTTTCACACAGAAAATTGGGGTCACATCTTTTAGTGAACGTTGCTGGAAGAAAGCTGGTGTCCTGGTCAAGGCAGTGGTAGACTTGGACTACAGGCTTCATTCATGGCTATCAGGCCTTTCGGGTTATCTCAGGGAAGTTACTTAGTTTTTGTGCTTTATTTGCCCACCCATCTTCCCCTTTTTCCACTGCACGCTCCTCCAGAGTAGGGATTGTGTTGTACGCAAGTATCCCAGATGGAGAACAGAGGGAAAGAACTCCCTTGGGACTGCTGGGTTCAGTTACAAGGACAGCACTGCGATCCTGCTCACTCCGGTGGGTCGAGTTAAAACCTGACATCAGAGGTCTATGTGATTATTTGCAGCAAAACACAACCTGCTTTTGGCAGGAATACATTTGGCACTGTATATTAGAAAATGTTTTTATGCAGGCTCATTCCTTGGGGGAATTAGCCAAAGACGGACAAGTCTCAGATAAAGCTGAAACTCATTTTTTTACCTGTTAACTGTCCTTCAGCTGTGTGCACTCTGTCATGCCTTGGAGTGTCAAGCAACATTTTAGCCTTCAATTAAACTTCATTTTGCCGCTTCAGAACCACTGGTACTGAACCGATCTCAGGGAGTTCTACTTGCAGGAGCATTTGAAGCGCTCACTATACTCATTTCCAGAGGTTTGGAACTACTGTGGGAATTAGGCCCTGCCTTTCCGGAGCACATCAGGGATTTTCCAGATGCAGGTACTAACAAAAGCTCTATCTAAGGAAAATGAACTTTATTGTTACATTGCCTCTTTATTATTACTGTGCTTTGGAGTTCTGGGGTATCTCTGGAGATACTCTACTCTTTTTCCTACTAAAGAACCCATATTCTCAAAGCCTGACCTCAACTCCTTCAGAGAAATGTTTCACACCAGCTCTGACAAGATTAGATTTCAGTGGGAATAGACAGAAACTAATAACAAGTGCTTCTAAAATGACTACAGTCAAAATGACTTTGGAGAAAGCCTTGTCTGCTCCAGAGGATACCCATTATTAAGCATTTTTACATTTGAACTATACCTCACCCCTGCAAGGTAAAGGTGGTTCTTCTCACCCTCTTTACATCAGGCACAGGCTCACTCAAAATATATGATATATATTGATGACCATTAAGAGGCCTTTTTAGTTTGAGTAAGTGATTACCTAATTTGCATGTCTGCCAAGTTTATATATATTTTTAAAAAATGTGAAATGATGGGATGGAATGGTTATGCTCTAGCAAATGCTAGATCCTGGGAGTTACTAACCACCTCAACTATCACCTCCTTCTTGGAGAGTCGAAAGAACTGAAGCTGATAATCTCAGGCATCTGGATACTTCTGGGCTTACACTAAGGCACCTTCAAGCCTTTCTGAGAAGCTGCTATATATTTTTTTTGTTCAGTTATCATGAATAGATGATATTATGTTTGTTAAAGAAGTTAATAACAAGCTCACACATCATTAGCACTATTCAGCAAGTGCCTTATACCAATTTGGTTTCTGGGAAAAAAATATGTATATATATTTATATATATATATTAACATGTAGTATTTTTTTCATTATCTTTGCAAGTCTGTCTTCATTCTAACTGTTCTAACCACTATTCCTTGCAGCACGAGACATGACGACACTGCTTATTTATATTGCATCTTAACATGTAACAGGAAATGAGCATAATTTTGCTGATATTGGGGGGAAAAAAAAGCATAATTTTAAAGTCTACATGAGTATTTCCGCTCTATAGTGATGGAACCAACAGTGCAAAAGAATCGATAAGCACAGTACCTTTGGAATGGGAAACTGGCATTCTCCCGAGCAGTAATAGGCATCAAAGGATTTAGGGGAAATAATCCACTCGCTCCAGCCGATGTCTGCAAAATCCACCTTGAGATAGCGCCGGGCGCAGTACCGCGGCTCATTCCACTGCTTCCTCCTTGCGTTCTTCAAGGTTTGCTCGTCAAACTGGAGAGTCTGGCTCTTCTGGTGATGGTTCTTCCTCTGCTTTTTCTTACTCTTTGCCCTCTCTGCCAGCCGTGGCTGGAGGGTTTGGTAGGGTTTCCTGTCCTCCCATCGCTCATCCTCGTTGTACTGGTACTCGGCCCCTGGAAGCTCATTATTCTGCAACGGCAACAGGACGTTTGTGGCGCGTTTCCGCCGCCGCTTGCTGAGGCCACTCTTTACATGGTTTTCTGTCCTGGGGAAGATCCTCACCAGGGGATTACGGTGCCCTTGCAAACTAGAGACAACACTCTCTGGCTCTGAAATGGCAGAATCATTGGCATATACCAAAATGTAGGGTTCATGGCAAGAAGGTGCTCTTTTCCAGGGGTGATGGCTGCTCACATCCATTTTGACGCTGATCAGAAGCTCATTGTTTTGTTTTGCCTCATGCAGGACCTGAGTGATATCCTTCCACTGCCAGGAAAGGACATCCCCGCACCCAGCGGAGACATTTATTAGGAAATGTCCCAGGCTGCGAGTCTGGTTCCCAACAGAAGGAATGGTCCAAACTGAAAGCTGAATCTGAATTTCGGGTTTCCTGTGCCTGTGCCGAGAGCAGTCTCTGGATCGGGAGCAGTTGCAGCTAGCGTTCAGCAGATCACCAATATAATAATACACTGAAGCTGACAAGATATTTTCGGACTTGGTGAGTGAGGTCAAGTTAAAAACATACAGCTCTTGGCTTCCAGGGCTCCCTAGAAGAATAAACATTTACATAAGAACACGGGGCAATTCAAAGTGTTAGGGACATTTAGTCCAAATGGACTATATGTGTTGCTTTCTAAGTTACACATTAAGCTAACCCAAAAGAGCAGCTTAAACCCCGCGTTACAAACCGAGGTACAAAGGATACATGTGCTCAGTGCCAACCTTCACCTGGGCACCTGGGTGTTCTTTGACCAGAGCCCTTCACATCCCCAAGGCCAGAGCTGGGCACACCAACACCAATATTGCCCACAAAGAGCAAATGTGGCCTGTTTCTGAATGCACGTGGAGGAGAAATAACAGGCAAGAACCTGTGTTCAATATTTTTAAGGCTTGGCTGTCAGTTCTGCAAAGAGACAGACAGACAACTCAGCATTTGTAACAACCTAACATCATATGAGCTTGTCTGACAGTCTCTTGGCTAAGCAAGATACTGATCACAACACACATTTGCCTATAGAATAAGCAAGCCCTGGACAGCTTCAATTCCATCAGGTAAAATTCAGTCATTTCACTTCAGATGTTTCATTAATTTTCACAACAGAGACGCCACACAAAATATTGACTTGGGTAGTTGGAGATAGATGGGCTGTACCTCAGCAACCTTGATAACCAAAGGAAAGCAATAAAACTAAAGGGCAAGGGGGCAGGGGGTGGAGGAAGGGGTCAAAATGCACCCACTTGCCTTTGTGCAGAAGGAAACAAGCCAAGGAAAACACTTCTTCATGATTGGGATGTTACTCTGTCAATTAGGAAGGATGCAGTGGTAAGCGGGGTTGCTACAACTGTGAAATTGGAGAAGTCAGCTTAACCACAGGTATCCCGTGCAAAGCCAAAGACGCGATCCCGGCACAGGCCTCATCTGTGGGAATGTATGGCTGGCTGCTTTAAGCCCTTGTAGGGTGCAACAGAAAACCTCAGGGGCGAGGCTTAATTTTTGTTTTAAAATTTCCTGGTTGGACTGTTTATACCTGTCCTTCAAAACAAGAGAAATATAGATGCAAACGTTAAGGTACTATTGAGAGCTGTAAAACCAGGCTGTATGGAAAAGTCAAATACAGTAAAACAAAGGTAAGCTCTACAGCCCCCAAAAGGCCTGGAAACAACCCAACACATTAGGAAAACAGGGGAACATCACGTTAAATGCTGCTTTGGCCCCACAGCACATGAAAACCCTTTCCAGAAGGTGAAGGGAAGTAGAATATACAGTGTGTGGCAGCAGTTAAGAGTTTTGTTGCCCCCCATTTTTCTTTTGTTCCAAGGAACGACAAGCACCAACAAAACTGTGGTCCCCTCTGCTTCCCCCAGGCCCTCTGCCCAAGCAACTGAAAACAATTCATTTCCAGCAGTGATCTTTCAGAAATGCTGACAACCATGTTCTAGGTGACATTCTGCGCTTCTCATCGGCGAGATCACATCTGCTAATAACATTCAAGTGTGCCCATCGAATGGCCATATTCTTCCTCTTCCTCCACAGTTCCCAAGCCCTAGTGGCCTCTTTTTTTTTTTTTTTTTCCTCTCCAAAAACAGATATTTTGCCTATTTTGGTAGGAATCAGCTCATTAGACTGAACCCCTCCCTCTCTAGTATATCACATGCATTGCTTCATGATAGTAGGGAAAAATCATCATATAGTTTTCATCCAAATAGGGGCGGAAAAAAAAAAATTAAAAAGACCAGGTCATCTAGGCAAGACAACCTTGTTTATACTTTCAGGCCAGCCTGATAGTGGATTACATGGGTTCTAGAAGGCAAGTTCCCAATAGCTGAAAATTATCATAATAAATCCATCCAATTTCCACCTATTACTTACTACTGGGAAACTAGATTTTCCATGGGTTCAATCCTGATTTTAATTCATGAACCCCAAAAGCAGCTACTCATTACATTTGTAGTAAGCACACATGAGCACCTGATCTCTGTTTAACCTTATATTATAATAAGGTTAATATATAATTTGGCAGAGCACTAAGTACATCACTCGGGAACGAGAATTTATGACGTCTCATGTGCCTGTTCATAAAGTTGTTTTTTGTAGCACTGTTGTATATTGAATCACAAGCTTTAATTCGAACATTTAATAAGAAGCCCACTTAACAAATACTGTCTGTTCCAAATCAACATATTCTCATGGAACACGGGACAGGCTGCTTTTGTTTATCAAGAAATTCTAGCTGGTGTGAAGCAGACACAGGAGGAATATATACTTTTGATTAAAAGCAAAACCCGAGAAGCCATTCTTAGTATTTGAATACACCAAAACCTATGTGCTAGCAGTAGGTGGAGCTATTTTCTTACTGAAAGACTCTCATGCTCAAGTAGCTCAGAAAAGTTTTCCAGTAATTCAGTTTGCAAAGCGCATGCCATCTCGAAAGCAGTTGTTAGCAGCCAGCACAGATGTTCTGTGGATTTGCTGGGACTCAGAACACCACAACGGCGTGAATTGGGTTTGTGTCACAATTTGGGAACACTGTGTCAACTCCATCCTTCGTGTGCCAGTGGTAGCTGACTCCTAGATGGGCACAGTGAACTTAAACACGCATCCCCCAGGCAAGTGATTACCTTCAAAAAAGACAGATGCGTAAGGGAAGATACCTGCAAATGTAGCACAAAGATCCCACAATAACATAATTTCGATTACTAACAAAGGAATTATCTTCATTAGATTAGAACCTAATAGAATTAACACTGCAAAACAAGAAGCTTTCTGTGAGCCTCATCCAGCTTGCTCTAATGACACAAGTAAAGCTATACTGACTCATGAGAGCTGAGGGCTTCATCTTCATAACAGCGTACACAGATGGCCAGACTGCTCGATTCCCACCTCGCCAAGCCCAAGGAACCCCTAACAAACAAAAACCCAAAGCAAACCCAGCTAGGGGTACAGCAACTCTAATAGCCTGTAAGTGTTCAGCAAAAGGTATTTCCTAGGTTGGCATCAAAACCTCAACCTCATTAAATGGAAGGGGGGAGGTAAACTATGGAGCAAAGTCCTTCAACAATTGCTTGGCAGCCAGTGGAGAAAGGAGGAATAAAACCTCGGCTGTCTAAGCCCACCTTAGGACTCTGGTCACTTTGCCTGCTATAGAAAGAAAGCTTTAAGATCGTACACATAACAAAATCTACTTGCAACACAGCCCTCTATTTGTCTGGCAACAGAAACAACAACAGCAACAAAATCATTTTGCACACTGAAAGGGGCGGGAAAAAAAAAAAAAAAGCTGTGGAAAATCATGGCATCGTAACAGCCTTTTCTGTTTCCAGTATCTAACAGAATGTTGAAATATCAGACATTCGTAGCAGCTTTCTTTGTGCTCCCTGCCCTGGTGTCAGCTGTGGCAGAGGCGCGCAGGCTCCTTTGAGTATCTGATGCTCCAGGGTGACAGCCCAGGCCCTCCTGCCCCTCGGCCAGCCCTGTGATACGGTGGCCACGGGCTTTGGGTCTCTCTGCACTGGAGGCAACAGTTGGGGCAACATGGCAGGGGGCCAGGGATGCTCACGAGAGCACAATCTCAGTACCTGGAACAATTCTGGTTTGTATCTCTGAGCGTGGGTAAGGCGTAACCTCGCACTCATCACACCCATGTACAAGGTAACACAGCGGCAGCTCCGTACAACTGCCCGAGCAGCAGTGACTTCCCCGAGGCAGCCTGCATCCTGCCCAGCTCTGTAAGAGCAGATTCCACCAGAGCACTTTCAGTTGAGCGGATCTTTTATCCCTTACTCACCTAAAGGGAGTCGTGTTAACTTGGCTTCATTCTTACAGTACCTTTGTACTTCTGCAGGAAGTGCTGAAAACTTTTGAGCAACAAAAACAAAAACATGTGAAGAGATGATTTCAGAGAGAAAAAAAAAAGGGGGGGGTGAAATGTGCAGAAGGGATAGAACTACGTGCAAGGAATACATGGGTAGCTTCTAGATATTCCGAGGCCAGATTTTATCAGCAATCTCTTCTCTCCGTCAAGGAATCACCACATATTTGCACAGCCAGCCTGCAGAGGAGCTTGGAGGCAAAGATCTGCAGTACGGAACTCTCCTTGTTTGCAACCAGTAACACTGCAAGAAGGGCAGCAGTGCAAAAAAGGGGCAGCATTTTTAGTATCACCCCTCTATACTGTCCAGAGCTTTGAGGCAGCAGCCAGGGGTTGGGGCAGTAAGGTATTTCACAAGAACAACATTTCATCTTGTATTTCTGCACAACAGGGAAGTAAACGCAGCTAAACGTACAGACTAAGGTATAGCTAAATGTACAGACTCTGCTATCCTCCTCAGTCCGTGTCACTGTCATACGCAAGGCATAATTCACCTCTCCCCTCTCTTGAACGAAACCCAGACAAGCACTGCCAAGGCAAAGCTCGTGTGGGGCAGCACAGAGTTTTCCAGGGCAGAAACACCTTGCTGTGTCGTGTAGGTGGTCATCACTCTGACACCAGCTCAGCAGACAGCAGTATTGCAGCTGCTCCCATGTTTACTCCTGACTTAGCCTTGAACGCAGCCCAGCTCACAGCCCTCCAACCAAAGCACTTGTACCTGCTGCCCCTTCGGAGGCACGGCTCGTGTTTCCTCACCCTCCCACAAGAGCCCACAGCTGCTCGTGGTGCCTGTTACCAGCATTAAAAGCGGCATTTTAAGAAAAAGCAGCAGGTCTTGGGAGACTGACATCACCAGCACGAGCGTATTCATGTTACAAGGGGCATTTCCAAGCATCAATAAGCTGGAACAAGTCCACTAACATGTGGTGTGTTTACCTTTATAGAGGATGCACTGACATTTTTATGGACTGCCAAATTTATCCCACGGGTGAAAAAGGATGCAATAATGAGGGCCATTTAGTTATACAGTCATCATTAGCCATCACTTAAATGAGATATTAAAGAGGTGCCCTTGTGCCAGTACGCAGTTAATGTATCAGTGTTTCCGTTGTAAAACCATGTTTTTGTGGGTTCATAGCCCAACTACGAAAGTTCATCGAGAGCTGGAAACGGGACCAATTTCCAGGCTGGGAACTAGGTTTGGGAGCTAGGTTTCCTCTTTCAGAGGATCATAGAATCATTATGGTTGGAAAAGACCTTCAAGATCAGCTGAGGTTATAGCAGCTAGTAACTTTACATACAAAAATAAAAACTCATCACCCTGATTAAAGCTATAATTCAAATAAAGAACGTATAAAAGCAGTGATGGCACATGCTTGTAGTCTAACCTACATGTGGGTTTTATGCTATGAAAAACACGAATAGGTACATTGCACATCATAAATATGTTGCACAATGGGTAAATGATCCATTTTTTTCATACTACCTAAGACAGGTAGTAACAGAAAGGTACAGGAATTTGGGAAGGGGCAACACAAAAGGCCAAATTCTGTCCTTACAATCATGATTAATTCCACTTTACTCGCCAGTAGTAGGTCAGCACTATGAAAACCAAACTGGGCACACTGCCTGTCCCCTTCCAGCAGAACTCTTCCCATGGGTAGCTACGTGCCCTAGACGCTGGGGTTGATGCCCCACAGACTCTGAGCACGATACATCAGCGTGCAGGTCAGTACAGCAAGAGATACAGCAAGAGAGGCCAGAAAATTCAAATTCTGCATCTGGTCCTGAGAGGCCAAACCTACAGTCGCTCTCTCTCTGCCTTAGAATGAAGTTTGCAGAGCCAGGACTGAACTGCCTAAAAGCAAACCTAACACCTTGCAAGTTCATTCTGCCAAAACCCCAGCACGCTGCTGCTGTTTGCACTGTATTTATAGGGTTATATCAAAAAAATACACCCCACACCCTCCTGTGCTTCATCCTGAATGTTTTAAAGCTATTTTTATGAAAGACTGTTAATGTTACTAGAGATGATAAAGACTCGTGTTTCGCCCCTGCTGTTTTTTCAGGCTGATGGCAGCCCGTGCCTAGCTGTTTCCCCTGTGCAGAACTTCCCTAGTCTGCGTGGGCATTTCATACTGCAACAAAGGAAAGAAAAGCATCCTATAAAGGAGGAGAACATAGTTTTTAAACCACAAAAATTGGCCCGGGGCAGGTGCAATACCTAAAATTAATTGAAATTCAGTCAATAAAAAAATTAGAGTTTAAAGCAATTTCTGACTGTACAGTTTTACTATAACATCATTAGAGGGGTCCTCCAATTAAACTTGAGTTTTTAAAATGACTCATTTCCAAGACATGCTCCTTTAGTGACATTATGATTTAGAACTACTTCAAAATGCAAACCAAAAGCCTAGTAATTCTGGGCTTTTATCCTTCCACTCTTTGTTTGATTTGTTCCAGGTTTATCTTTCCTCCTGCTCCAAAGCCTCAGGTGCTGCAGCAGAGCACCCCTCTGGGTGCATTGAAGGTAAGCGGGTTCATGCCCACAGAAGATCTGCTCATCCAGCAGTTTTGGCAATGGTTGGGAGAAACGAACATTCACGGGCAGGAGCTGATGTACAGACTTGATCAGTGTTTTACATTCTGCTGCCTATCAGTGTGAAAACCACCTATAACTCACGTATTGGCCTATACTTCTTTTAGCCTTCATTTTAGAATCACGTAGGACAGGATATCATTCGCTATTGTGGCATCTGCAGACAAAGACTAAAAAAAAAAAAAATCCTCCATTTAAGGATTTTTGTTTAGGCAGAACTCACCGTTAGGCCTGGTCCAAGCAAGACAAAGGCTGCCGGTGTCATCCTACAAAATATCTCACAACATTGTACTTGTAGCCTGACACAGCTACCACAGAAATCAGAGGCTGAACATCCTTTGACTCTAAAACATAAAAATTGAATTAGGACAGTTAAGTCGAAGAAGGAAATACTGCAGGAGAGTAATTGGATATACTATAAATGTGTATATCAAAGACCTACATCTTTATGTGCCTTTCAGGTTCAGGTGTTCCTCAGCTTTGTGATGGACATCAAAGGTTTGTATTTTGAGTGACTCAAACTGAACAGTTATGTTTAAAGATAACTTTACAAGACCAATGAAAAACAAATTTGCCTTAATAGAATCACATGAACAATCATAAAAATCAAAGGCCCAAAACCCCAACCCAAACAACAAACCACTAATAATCCAGTCTACTTGTCAGCCCTGGTGTGCAAAGCATTTTAAGTCAGCATACTATGGAAAATTCAAAAGTGCCCAGATACAGCCAAAGTTCTCATCCTACCCCTCAGAGGACTGAGCCGCAAAAACAAAAAACTCTGTTTTATAGTTGTTCAAATGCTCGTTTTCATTCATCGCTCTCATTTTCCTTTCTGGTTGTTCATCGTAAGACTACAGCTGCCTCACGACACCTCTTTCTGTGAGACAAAAAGAGAAGCCTTTCAACAAATCCTGACAGTTTTCTTCATAGGGGCCTGAAAATTTGTCTACTCGGTTCATTGAGAAATCTAGGAAAAGACCTTCCCCTGTGGAACACTATCAGTTAAGAAGTGCCAGAAATCCATAGGGGGAGAAGTGTGGAATTTCACGTATTTCCATATGCCTTATCTTTTCTGGTCAGCCCTATTTTCGCTGTGTTTCAGAAAAGGAACAGTTTCTCTCCTGAAAATATATAGTCATATTGGTTATTACAGTGCAAATGAAATAACTAGAGATTTTCTTTATGGCCTCTTGCGGTAGAAGTGGGAAAACTGGTGGATTTTTAAGGAAGTTCTGCTCATCTTAGCTATAAAGTTATCTCCTAAAAGCTTTAGCACCTCAGGATTATATAATATACATTGTTGGAGGAGTAACAGCAATATAATTGATTATTTTAATTAATACAGTCATATCAAGGATATGGAAGGAGCCTATGGGAGACCAGAATTTGCAACCAAGGAGTTGCAATATTCACAGCAGAGAATTTGGAAACAAATTATCTCAAAAATATGGATGTGCTGTTTCCATGGCAGAGTGAGCAGAAAGGATGGGCGCAAGTAGAAAATCAGAAACGTGTCTTTTCATTCCCAAACTCACCCCCCCTCAAGGAACATAACCCCCTCAAGGAATATTTGATCTAAACTTTATGAAAATTCACTTTTCTGCCATCAATAACCACACAAATGAGCTGCCACGGTCTATGAGGAGAGAAAGACAACAGTTAACTGGTTAAATATTTTGCATGAATACTTATAAAAGTGTCAAAAAACTTATAACCACTTCCAATTTATTGCTTTGGCACTTGCACTGTGAAAGTATTGGAGGAGAAGGAAAGGGATTAGTGAATAGTGTGTTTATAGGACCGCTGCCACCCAACGTCAAGTGAGAGTATAAATACAATCAGAAAGACCACAGAGATGGGATTTCAACCAAAGGCCTTCTAGGTTTAGAACAATAAATATCTTGAATCAGATATCCTTAAAGGAGCAAGTATCACTCAGTTTAGATTATGCCTTTCCTCTCCTTTTTTTTTTTTTTTCCTCTTCTCTCCAGTGAGGTCACTGTTTATTTCAGAGCAAAAGAGGATGTCTTAGACTTTAATACAGAGAAAACTAGTGACAACAGGAGGACAAGAGAGCTCCTTCCACACAGAAAAAAAATCTGCGGGAGCAGCAGCTAGGGATCCCAGTGCTCTCTCCTCTGAAACCAACACATTTAAGGCTTCTGCCTCCAAAACCTTAGTCCTGGACAGAAATACTTGCAGTAACATATGATGGAGAGTGTTTGTAGACTGCATCTAACATGCCAAAGCCATTCAATTACTCATGGTATTTGATCTCTGTGCAGCACAATCCTGTAACAGACACTGCTGCCTTTGAAGAATTAGAAGCAATGACTCCCAAAGAAACCTAAGGAAAGTTTGGCACCGAGCTCTCATTCAGATTTCTGGGAGAGCAAAGGACCTGCGTAGCTCTCAAACTCCCAGGCAAAACCAGGCTATCGTCAGCCACTTGTCAGCGGAAAAGTTGCCAGGTTAATCTGTTAGCGTCATGAAAAATAAGAGACTGGCAAAGAGGCTGTTCTGTGTGGCACAACAGCTGTCATACAAGCAGCAATTTCCTTGGGATGCTGTGGATTTGGGAGTCCTATTACAGGGATGGTCACACTGGGCTCTGGCATTTTCCCTTCACCCTTGCAGGGGTCAGACAGGCAAAAGAGCAGGGGCAACCTGGAGGGACTCTGAATTCAGACAAGGGAGTTTCCCCTTTTTACCAGGGCACACCTGGCAAAAGGTGATCCCCGTCATGTTCAGTGCATGGCCACCAGGATCGGGTCTCCCCGAGGCACCTGCAGGATCAGGGGCTGCTCTCGTGCATCTCCTTTGGAGAACGGACATTTCGGTCGGGCAGGGTGTTCCACCCAGCCCTCCCAGCTATCCTAACGTATCATTTCAAGGGCTCAAGCTTCACTGCAATGGTTTTGAGACTGACTAGCCATACTAATCCTGCCATATGGTCTTACCCCTGCCTCCTGTAAATATTCTTTTATGGAAAATAACTTCAAGCTCTTCACAAATCTACCTGTTCGTGCTAAGTTATCACCACAGCTCCAGCTAGAACGACAGGGGTCTAAGTGCCACTGCCAAATATGCTGAAATGCACTAGTTGCTATTCACAAGCTGCACTTCCACGCAGCCCTTACCTGTTTCCTCTTTGTACCACTACTCTGCCCAGTATCTGAAAGCGAGTGCTCTCTACGCAGTCCAAACGAGCTCCAAACCAGGTTATTACTCAGTATTACTCTATTTTAGGCAAATCGCCCCCTGATTTCTACAGAAGCTACACAGGCACCGCACCGATAAACAGGAGACTCCAGACAGCAGGGAGTAATTAGCTCATTTCCCACATATGGTGCTCGTATCTTAGGGTAGGGAGGACGCATACGGAGTTGAATAGATAAGGCAGTAATTAAAGCATGCGAGACGACGCAAACACCACAGCGTAAACTACAGAGCGTCGCTGGAGGAAACATTACTTTTTCCGGCCTTTTCCTCCTCACGCCGGGCTTCCCGGGTGCTACAACCCGCCGTGTTCCAGCATTCCCGCTCGCCCCGCGGGACGCGCGCTGCT